TGTGTGTATTTTGCTTTAATTATAATTTTCGCACAGAGAGCAAACAAAAATTGTAAAGTTGCTATAAAAAAAAAATAATTTAATTATATAATATTGTGTTGAAAGGTAAGTTAAGTTATTTTGTTCTGATTATTTTCTTTATATTTGTTAATTGATAAACATAGGTGTACTTAAAAGAAAAACAAAATATTTTTTTTATTTATACATATATTTGATTTTTAAGCGAAAAATAAATGAAAATATTTTCTTTAATATAAATATATCATTTTGTGAAGGACTGTATTCAAATTCTTTTGGTAAGTAATATAAACAATTAGAGGCAACTTTGACTGAATAGGATTAAAGTTATTTGTCGAAATTTCTCGAATGTTACATATGATGAGTCATAGACATTACTATGAATATCTATATGATATTTTTGACAAAATGATAAAGAAACATCCAGTACTTAGTGAGGAAAAAAATCGAATAGAGAAAAAAGCAAAAAAAGAAAGATACGAATAATAAATAAATAAAATACCCTGTCGGTTTTTACTTGAAAAAAAAAGAAGCAGTCATTGAGTTATTTTCTCCTTTTTTTCTCTTCTTTCGATTAATGTTGGGCATGTAAGTGTGAAAAAGAAAGAGGGGGTAAGGAAGAGTTGATTTTATTTTTTATTATTATTTTTCTTGTGTACCTTTTCTCTCTCTATGAGAGAATCATATATGACTAAGTTTCTAACCTCAACTGAAACCTAATCTTTAATCCACAATAAACATATCGCCTACACAATTCTTTCTTCCTTCGTATTTATTGATCAATAAATGTGCATATATATATATATACATACATGTACAGCAATTATTATTAATGAAAAACACGCGCCTGTATTGATGATGTATTTGGATACCTACAGATTTTGACTGACTGATCACGATTGATGGGTAAGGATACTATCTTGTTCTCTATATAGGCTTTCACATATCATAAACAAAAGAAATTGTTTTTTCGCTATTATTTATGCAAAGCAGAAGAAATATTATGTGCGCTATCGATAAGACGTCTTTGTCAAATTTTTTGTCTGTTTATATTCGTCGAAAAGAAAAAAAGAAGAGAAGAAAAAGATCATATCTTATACAAAATCGATCGTCAACTATTTGCGTGCTTATATGTGTCCATATATACGTTGCTAATCGGGTAAAAGACAAGATATGATAAAAATCAATCTATCATTATCATCATATCGTTATTATTACTTTTTTTTTTTATTTTTACCTGCATTCATTCAGTAAAAGGAGAAAGTACAAGGCCAAATATTAAACGCATATACTTACATCCTATATATAAACGATAAAAGGAAGATAGTTGCCCTTTTTTAGATTTATATTCAAGTTAAAAAAAGTAAAAAGAACATGTCATCACAACGTTATTCTGAAAGTCGATCATATCAGGAAGAATCCCGTAATAGCGGTGGTATTAATACAAATACACATGGTTCACCATATGATCAACGTGTAACTGTTCCTATTCAACATGCAGTAAATAGTATTGGTAATAATACCAGCGAACAACGTGTACAAGAACGTATTCGTCATAATGATACAACAGTACAATGGGTTAATGATCCAGTAACTGGTAAAGAAAAATTTCGTGTTAATATTAATATCGAGGGATTTAGTCAAAATGAAGTATGTCAATATTAACAATCTTTCGTTATGTAAGGTTTCTTTTTTCTTATGATAATTAGGTCAATATTCGTGTTGATGGTAAAAAACTTCTTGTATATGGTGAACATATTGAAAATCATAATGATGTAAGTAATTTTTACTAAAGTTTTTTAGTTTCTTAATTTTAATAGAATTTATTATTTAGAGTACGCGCAAAAAAATTATTGAGAAGTCCTTTGAATTACCTTCTGATATTGATACATACACGTAAGAGTAAACATTATTTTCATGTAAGATTTTTATATTTAAATAATATCTTTTCAGCCCACAAACAACTTTTCCAACACCAATAAAAATGCAAGTAGATTTTCCTTCACGTCATTCAAATGTAATCATTGATGATGGTCGTGCATCTTCGAAACATATATCTGATTATGATGTATCTCATCGTTCAGCACCGAGATTTACTCAACAAAAAAGTTCAACTGAATTTACATCGACAAGAAAAATTGGTGGTGGTGGTAGTACTGGTAGTACTGGTTTTAGTATTAGTGGTAATACTGACGCTGGCGTTAGCGGTAGTATTGGTCGTAGTAATACTAACTATCAACGAAGTTCAAGTAAAATGATTTTCTTTAATTATATTATTGTTGATAGAATAATTGTTTCAGGTCCACCTTCTCATTCTCCTTATCAATCATTCGGTGGTAATAGTATGAGTCGTGATATTCGTGACATCCGTGATGTTTCTGATACTCGTGATAGTAGTGATTATTCAACAAATACTTCTTTTTTTCGCGAACCAGTTAGAATGCCAAGCCCACCGAGTCGTACTTTCGGTAGTTCTACATCAGATTTTGCAACAACAAATGCTTGTCATATTCGCGAACCAGTTAGAATGCCAAGCCCACCGAATCGTACTTTTGGTAGTTCTATATCAGATGCATTCAATACAACCAGCAACTCAACACATACACATCGTATACCAGGTGTTGATACTCTTTCAAGAACAACGTTTCCAGCATCATCATTTCGTAGTGAGTATGGTAATGTAGAGGAAAAAACATTTTCTGAAACACATCATGAAACTCGTCATCGACGTTCAAGTCCAACATCAGGTGTACAATCATCACATGAAGTTGAACATCATCGTTCAGGCAGTCCATCAATAGTTAAAGATATTGATACAGAACGTTTTCGATCAGGTCTTAACCTTGGTAATCGCAGTCGGACACCACCATCATCATCGCGTAATCTTGAAGTACGTGAATTTTCGCGACGTGTGGGTGGTGGTACAAATAATCTTGCTACTGATAATGATAGGTTTACTAGTAGTAATGAACCCTCAATATTTGCTCATGATTTCAATTCAGATGCATTTTATCGAAGTGCTTTTCAACCACAAATATCTACCGATGATCGTGGTCAAAAACGTGTTGATATGAAACTTGATGTAAACAATTATCAACCTAATGAAATAAAAGTATCGGTTAATGGTAATGATCTTATTGTTCAAGCTGAACATAGTGTTGAACGACCGCCAACATCATCATCACGAGCATATTTTTATAAACAACTTACATTACCACCAAATACAGATTTAAAAAGCTTAGCATCACAATATAATCCCGATGGAAAACTTCATATTACAGCAAAATTATCTCAAGAACAATCTTCAATTAGATATAATTAAAGATTTTTTTTTCTGCATATTCAATCTCGAAAGATCTTTTTTTTTATTATTTCCAATTTTATTAAATATATATATATATATAGTTTTGGCACGGTATTAAGCAATTTTTTTTTCTGACAAATTCCAATAAAATACAAGCATTATTTCTTACAGATGATTGTTTTTCTATTGTATAAAATATTTGAATCAAATTTCATGTATAATGAATGTTTTTTAACAGTAAGATCACTAAGAAATACATTCTCTATTTATAAAAGATCAATATTTGAATACATTTAATCATTATTTTCCAATATATACATATCAACTATGAGTAAATATTTAAAAAACCTCATGTACCCATTACTAAGAAAGATGAATCATAAAATGCATTTGTATATATTAATCACAAACTTGGTATTGTAATTCAATCAATATCTTTTTTTATTATCTTAATTACATAGAAACCGATTGGTAATGAGACTATAGTTCTTCTAGTAAAATTGTTTCTAAAAGATGCAATTACACCATACAGCAATTAATATTATATTACGAAAAACAACGATGTTATTTTTCTTGTAACCGATTAATAATTACTCTTAGAAAACATTTTCACTATGGGTCAACCTAATGAAGCAAAAAACAAATATTTTTGTTGTCTTTCATTTTAATTCAATCTATATGCAAATTATCAACTATAAATAGAATATCTAATTTGCATACAAATATGCAATAAATAAGAAAAAACAAAATTTTGTTTTTAGTGAAAAACATCATATTATTCTCGTATAATTTCCTGTTGCGATAGACGAATTTTAAATAGTAGCAATATTTTATAGTACCGTTTCTAAACAGACCTTGATTTGAATAAGTAAATAAATTTAGTTTATTCAACTGAAAATAAACAAGATCAGAGCAGCGTAGTTGCTGCAATTAAATAATTCAAATGATTATTTGTTACAATATATATATATATATATATATATGTTGATATAAATCTAAGTCAAGCAAATTCTAATCTTATAAAATACAACTTAAATAGAAGTAGCATATTTTATGATTTTATTACACCTGTATGAGTTTATAAAGGTTAAGAAACGACAACAAGAGAAATAAAGAAATTTCTACACGTTTTTTTACTATTATTTCATCTGTAATGATGCCTATTGCTTCTGTAAATATTTGAAGTTTTCTTTTTCTTACCAAAAATGTTCTTTTCTTTTACGACATTAACAAAATTGGTAAAAGAATAAAAACAAAAAAGTAAAATTCATTTAAAACATGTCAGCAAATTCACCTAGCAATGATAAAAAACCATGTACAAAATGTGGTTTAAAAAGATGGGTATTACTATGTGAAGGCTGTCAAACATCATTTTGTATTGATCATGCATCTGAACATCGAACATATTTATCAAATGAGCTTGGTAATATCGAACAACAATATGTTCATTTACAACATATTTATAATCAACATGAAAAACGTCAGGAGCATCCATTATTTTCACAAATTGATGTATGGGAACATGATACAATATCTAAAATTCAACAAACAGCCGAGACAGCGCGTACTGAACTTCAACAAATGCTTGATGAATCAAATAATCGAATGAAAACAATATTGAATCATTTTCGTGATGAACTTTTCACTGGACGTGAAAATGATCATTTTACTGAGACTGAACTTCATCAATGGAAAGAGAAATTAATAAATATAAAAGAACAATTAGAAACACCATGTGATATAGAGCTAATAACAGATAAGAATTTAACACCGATTCATTTAATTAAAGTTATAACAACAAAACAAAATACAATGATTAAAATTCCTTCATACTCTCAGCCTATTGAATTATGCAGAAATACGAATGATATTGACTCTTCTTGTAATAATGAACTTGATAAACCACAATTAAATAACGCTGACATCCGTAACAACTCTGCTCCCGAAGGTATAATTTATTATAAATAAATCATTTTAAATTTATAGATGTTTCAGTTTTACAATCAACCGAGCCAAGTGTGATACCGAAAGAAGAACCTGAAAATATTCTTGAATCATGCGATGTTTTACCGATTGAATGTCAAGATCTTCTTGATCCAAATGAGAAGAATGATCTTCTAGTTCTTCAGTTACCTTCGACTATTCAATCACAAATACCTGATATTCTAAATAAACAAACTAATCATTCTGTTCAAATATTCAATGACAAAGTTGAATTTCTTCATATATTAAAACATAGTAAACAAATAACAGTTTTTATTGATATAATCGATATGGTATCGGATGAACGGAACCATTTATTAGATACTATTTCGGAATCAGACGATGTTCATTCTATATATATTCATGGTATTCCATTAGTTGATGATAATGACCGTAGTCATTTTTTTTCAACGATATACAAAAATAAAAGCAATGTTCGAAAATGAACATCGTCTAATAGTTCAATGGTTTATTGATACAGCAAATGAATATAAAAAAATTGGTGATATTTATATTGACCGAGGTGATAAAGACAGAGGACGTTTTTGTTTTGAAGAGGGTATTAAACTATATAAACAATTATCTGTATTTCTGAATGAAAATCGATGTGTTCGATAAATAAATATGAATAATATAATCATTTTTTTTCTAGTTTACTTCTAGATACATGGCGGCTGTTAATCCTTCTTTTCTCGTTCTACTTGACCTTCAAGATGAATATGGAAATTTTGGAACAATTTTTAGATCACAATTATTTTGTCGATTTACTGATAGAGCTCGTTGTTTAGCTTATATTTCAAATCATCGTACCAATATTCGTTTATTACATTTTTTCATACCAAAATCAGAGCATGTCGTTGTTGATGCTGATATTGTCCTTTTTAATACAATATATTATATTTATTGTATGAATGAAGCTGGCATAAATGAAATGAGTCGTCAGTATAATTTTCCAATGTATGTTAAAATTTTCGATGTTGAATCTTTGTCAACATATCTACGTCAAGCAGCTATTGGAATTTTATTTGAACGAGCTGAACGTACAAAACATGAACCTGATGAACATGATATTGCATTACAATTAGCAGCTGAACTAGCTGATACATTAGGTGATGAACTTCGTCAGCATATGAATGGTAAAATTGGAGAACAACCAAATGACAATTGACAAAATAGTATTGTTCTGTTAAAAGATTCATTTTATACAATCACTAATTTCTAGAAAAACAATGTTGTCTTTCGTATTAACTCGTAAAACAAGTTAATAGATTATAAAGAAAATGAATGTTATGATATACCGGTTAAGGATCATTTAAAATGCTGCTTGTAACGATTGAAATGATCACTCTATGTAATTTAATAGTTTTTATAAATAAACTTAAAAAAAGAATTATTCTCTTCATAGTATTTCCTATTCTTTAAGCTAAACTTCTATAAAAACGATAATTATCATTTCATAGTCGAACTATGATTCAACTAGTTTCAAGTATATACATTTATATTTAATTTTAAATCCATGATTTGATCATATAGATGAACAAGTATCAGATTTCTCAGATTTATTTTATTTAAAAAAAACAACAAAGATTTAGTTGTCAGATTTTAACATATCCTATAAAAATTCAAGAAAAAAATTAATATACGTGAACAAAAGAGAATAATCATAAAATAAAATGTTCTAGACTTAACATAGTTACAAGATTAAAATTAGTGAACAAATATGATTATAATATGTCATTATGTTCGACGCATCGATTTTTTCGTACCTTTTTTTACATGTGGTTTATTTAAAATTACACCTTTTCCATCATTTTTCTCAAAAGATTCTTCCGATAATGAAGAAGTTAATTTTTCAAGAGCATCTTTTGCTTGAAAACGATTAGAAAGTTTTTTAACTCTATATATACGAACAATCCAATTTGCACTTGTATAAGCTTCTTCAACATGTTCTAAATCAAAATTTTTATGTCCAATTTCAACAGATCGTGTTCGATCAAAACTGAAAAAAAAAGATAAGTTTTATATTATATTTTTATTAACAACATAAATTACCCAGATGGTTGTGCACTATCAGTATATAATTCACCAAAACGATAATAACATAATTTATACATTAAACAGTTAAATAATATTGGTGAACCAGATTTATCAACACGATATTCTTTATTGTCATTAAAATAATTATTTTCCTTTATATCCTTTGGATGTTCACCTATTATTTATATAAAAGAAAATCTTTTGTTTGTCTCTATACTTTTTATGTTCATACCTTCTGCAATTCTAACCATCCACAAAAATTTATTAATATCATCACCACTAAATCCAATCACACCACCAAATATTACTAAAATATAATCGACATCAAGCATTGTCATAATTTTATAAGCTTCGGTTTCATTGCTTGCCATAGCTTTTCCAACTAACGCAATATGACTGTTATTCCATGTATTATTATCAACTAAAACAGTTCGATTACTCATACCAGCAATTTGATAACCATAATCCCACCAAGACATAATACGAGCTTTTTCTGGAGTATTTTGTCTTAACCAATAATAAGCTTCACGATAATCATCAACGATAGCACGTGTTCCATCGCTATTGTAAGATACAAGAACAATTGATGGAGATGAATATGCAGTTGCTGTAATCCATGTACAATGAACAATGAAAAGTAATAACATCATAGCAACTAAAACAATTATTATATTTTTAAGAATCGATTAATTATTATCTGATTTTAAACATTAGATAAAACCGTACTAGACTGAAAACAATCCAACGAAAATCGTTGTCTCTATTATAATCTCTAATTAATCTTAGAAAAAAACAAATTTACATACTACAAGTAACAACAATTATTTTGATATTTGATGTGAGAAAATTTTGATCGTCGTCGTTATCGTCCGTTTCATCAATATTTTGTGCATTATTATCTAAATATTGATTATTTTCATCATTTTCTACTTCATCACAAATGCTAACAGAATCATCATAGTTTGAAACCATTTCTGATGATTCAGCATCAGCATAATAATCAAGAGTTTTTGATAGAGCAATTGCAGCTATGAATAAATACTCAAAATAATATTAAAAAAAATAGATATTTATTTGTTACCAAGTATACAAACACATGGTGTTAGTGTTAACATTAAACGAATCATAACTCCAGCAAAATAAGATGCAAAAACTGCATAGAGAAGAATAAAAACACGTTCATCATTCAAATCTTTAACACAAAACCATGCACCAACAGGATATAAACAAATTAATAGATGAAGATCTAAAAGTTCATATATTCATATTTAAATAAATTTCTTTTCAAAAACAAATTTTACCGAAAAAAAAACGATGTCCATGTTGTTGGTTGATGTTCACTAACACTTATAATAATAGGTATATGTTTTGCAGCATAACTTGTATCCCACAATGAATAAAATCTTCCCGACCACGGTGCAATATAACCAGTATATGTTAATAAAACAACGATTGCAAATACAATAATACTAATGATAACACTTAAATTAAAAAATATTGTTTCTATATTTCTAACATATCTTAATTTGTTATAGAGATAATCAAAAAATGTATATGCTTGTAAAAGTATAAAAATGCCAGCTGCTATCATATGCTCACTAGTACGAACAGGTTGAAAACCAACAAATGGAATTTGCATAGAAAGTATTAAACCAAGAATATAAAATATTGAATAAGATACATAAAGACGAAGTGAATATCGACCAAGAAGAAGTAGAAACCCTACATGTACTGGAATTAAATTTATTATAAATACATAACCACCCCATGCGGATACCTAAAAATAATTTCGTATTTTATTACTTTACAGAATATTTTCAATTTATTATACCATATAGAAATATGATAAAGCTGTACAAGATGACCAAAATATACTACCAGTTTTAATTGAACGTATCCAAAGATAATAAGTAAATATAAGAGCAAAAATAGCAATAGCTAAAATTGAAAACTGTATGTGTGTGTGTGTTTTTTTTTATTAAAAGAAATCAATACCTTCATTATCATATGATCCAGCGACACTACGTGATGAATATCCTGGTGCAATAGCAATAAATGCAGCTGCAAATAATCCAGCACGTTTTGACCATAATTCTTTTGTTAATAAATATGTAGCAAGAGCTGTTAAACCACTAAAAATGGGCGCAAGAAAAACACATATTTCACGAATATGTATTGGAATATTGATCATATGAAAAAACCAATGAATAGCACCACTAGTAACCATTAAACCTTAATATATATACACGTAATAAATAATTAATCTTAATATACAAGAAGGCAAAATGAGATATTTAAGTACCTGGAAAAACAGTGCCACCAACAATACGTCCAAGCGGATACCAAGCAAGGTCATCAAACCAATTAAGAAAATTATAAAAACCATTATCTGTCATATAAACAGTTGATCGATAATTAAACCATGGATCAAATTCATGTATAACTGATTCAAAACGAATAATGGAAAATAAACGAGATATAAAACCAGATATACAAACACATATCAAAATAATAACAGTAATTAATGATTTTAGACCAGCTGATGATGATGATGATGAATTTGTTATATATTCAGAAGAATTATCATTGACAGTTGTCATTTTATAGATTCTCAAAACTATTATGATACAAAAAAAAGGTATCAAGACAAACTTGACAATATGAAGAGAAAAACAAGTGAAGCATGACATTGACAGATAGGTCAAATAAGAGAACAAATCAAATATATATACATATTGTATAGGATATAAATATTTTATATGAATAATTTTCTACAATAGATCTCTTTGAAACGAACTATCTCATATATTTTTATTTCATAATCATTTATGTTAGTTTTTGTCATTGATAAATATTCTATTATAACATATGACTAAAATTTTTATTGTTACTAATAGTCTTTTTCTGGATTTTCTTTATTTGTGTGTGTCAAAAAACTTCATTCAAGGAGTTAGAAAAGACACACACTCACAGATACAGCAAGAAAAAATGAAAATACAAATACATTTGTTTTTCTTGAAAAAGAAAAAAAGAAGAAGAGCGCGACAGTAAAAAAGGAAAGCGAGATCAAGTGAGCAAGCATTAGAATGAAAAGAACATACGTGTATAAACGTTTCATAGAAAAAAAAAAGTTAAATTTCAAATTAGACAATGTTTTTTAATATAGCATGCAAATTTTGTTTTGAAAAATATAAAAAAGAATGAAAGAGAGAGAGAAAGAATAATTAGAAAAAAAACACACACCAGTTTCATGGTTTTTTAGGTCATCGTATTAGTTGACAGATTACAAAACAACCGATGACTATTGCGTCTCAGATCTATGAAAATACATTTAAGCCGAGATTTAAATACTATAATTTTTTTTTCAAGGAAATTATTGTCTTTACAGTCACTGTTAGCATAGATATACGTGAAAAAAAAGAAAAGAAGAAGAAGAAATTAAACCACAATTAACTGTACATATTAAAGTATGAAATAGGAAAAAGGAATTGAGCTTACAAGAAAGTAAACAGCACCAAAAAGAATTCACTTACATATCTTAATACTTTCTTTTGTTCAAATTAGATATATGTTAAGCATAAAATAGAAATAATAAGGCTATTTTTGTTTTCAGTCAAAAATATACGAAGAAAAAGAAAACACTTATTTTGAATCTGTTAGGATAAACAGAACATAGAAATGAAAGAAGATATATCTTTAAAAAAATAGGTATAGATGATCAAAATTCGAAGAAAAAAGAATCACAGTAATTCGTACTGTCTTAAATGGATACGTTGAATGATATCGCGACAATCATTGAATACTCGACGAATATTTTCTGTATCAACAGCACACGTAAAGTGTGGATAACAAAAATGATGTTGGTCACCAATAGCTGTACTAATTCGCTAAATAGAAAAAATAATATTATGTATTTTGGTAAATTATTTAATTTTAATAAATTTATTTACTAAGAATTCATCACGAATAAAATATTTAGCTCGTGTTACTTCTGGATCTTCATTTGGTTCGGCTCTGTCTAAAAATAAAATCATTAATTAAAATTTATTTAACTGAAAGAAGAAAATTGAGTCTAAGAGGAATCAGAGTTGTAACCGATCGGTCTAAGAGTCTTCTAGACCGGTAAAAACCGACAATTTCATATAATATACACAAGGAAAATTAGATTAAGACTAAAGAAAAAATATCAAAGCAGACAGATAAGCAGCGTATAACAACGTACTGATTGTACTCTTTTTTGCACGATTGACTAATAGATCATTTTATTTAAAAGAAAAGAAAAAAATCAGAAAAAATGTGTACATATATATTTCAAAATGAATTGTGATTGTTTTTTCAATGAAATAATCAATCCATTGGTTCAACCTCCTTCACCGGTCCGATCCGGCACTGGTACGGTCCGACCGGACCGGTTATAACTCTCAGTGAAACAATACTGATTCAGATAAATTGATGTTATAACATAGAGTGAAGAAATATATGTCAGTGGAAACACAATATACATTCCTTAAATTTGATTCAAATCAATAAAATCAGGTTTACTTTATACGAAACAAGTGCACGTATATCACTATTCGTTGTCAAACTCTGTATGTAAACTCGAATTTTTGTGCAAAAATAATTTTCAACATATTTAACAATTACATGCATAATAATCGCTCTTCTCGAATGATTTATTACTGCATCGATCATTCATTGTTATCGTTGTATTTTTAGATTTATTTCGTATACTTTTGAAAAGAATGATTTATGTAAAATAAATTCTTTTATTTACCTAATTCAGCATTTGAAATAGCATAACGAGCAAATTCAGGAAAATGAGCTTCAAGTCGGTGACCACCTTTGATTTTTTCTGCTAGAAGATCTTGTTTATTAAGAAATAAAATAACTGAAATTGTTTTTAACCAACTATAAATATTTAATAATAATAATAATAAATAAATGTTTTTTTATTTTTTGTTTATAAATTTTACCGATTATTCCAAATAGCTTTAAATAATTCAAGTGATTCTTTTAGACGATTTTGACATTCATCTTCAATAAGTACTAAATTAAAACCGCTACATGCGGTAACAAATATTATTGCAGTAACATCATTAAAGCATTGAATCCATTTACGACGTTCTTCACGTTGTCCACCCACATCAAACATACTAGATGGACACATATACATTACATTCATAACGTAAATATTAACGTATACTTACTGAAAACGTACGCGCTCAACAGTAAAAATTGTTTCATAAATGCCTGAGGTAAGAACACGACAACGAAGAATGTCCTAGAAAATATCATTTTTAGATTATAGAATGTTTTAATAATACTAATGTGTTTTAATTTACATAAATTCGATTATACCTTCGGTATGTACGACGAGGTAAAATCAATAATAGTTCTTAGAAAGTTATCTAATTATAGAGATATGAACATGTATTAATGTCATCGTAAACTTCTATAAAACTATTTATACATATTGTCATTCATCCTCAAGCATAAATTGCACCAGAGCTCAGTGCATTTTTTTTCTAATTATAAGAAAAGGGTACTATGTATAATAAAAAATACAAAAATATATTCATTTGAGTCTAGACATATATTAAAACGAAAAATAAATACACTTGAGATTAATCTTATAATTGAATTAAGAAGTGATAAAGAAAAGTTCTCGATTTTTAGACTAAAAATCATTAGCTTCCTCAAAATGCAAATATTATAATACGTTTTGTGCGCAGAAGATTATGTCATAAAGGAAATTGCCAACATACTTTTTGTATTAGATAATAAAAACAATTCTATGATGTATTCTTTCTTTAGTCATACGAAATTTCTGCTATTCGATAAAAAAAACTACCTGATGAATCATTTCCTCGTTATAAATAGATAATATACCTTTATACTAACAAATGAATCATTTTAACTTACTTGATCACTTGGTACATAATTTGGCTTACTAATTTCACTAATAGTATCGAGAAAACTAAAATATTTGTTGAAATTTTCTATTGAGAAAACAATAAAACTCTATTATAAACTACTAACTATTTAGCACAATCAACAAGTTGATATTCATTTGATCTGTGAAAACATTCTTGTACACCTGCATCATTCCATAAAATTTGTGCATTTTGAAAAAATTCTGCTGGATAATCAAAATCTATTTGATGTGCTGTTGTTAACATATATGTAGCACGTGCTTGATTTTCTGGATTTTGTAATCGTATAGGTGGATTAATTGTATCACAAGCACGAAGAATACTCTAGATATTATTATATAAATATTAGAAAAGAGAAAAATTAAACATACAGTTAACGCATCACGTATATTACGTTTAATATCAGGTACTTTATCAAGTTTTTCTCTATAGAATGAAATACAAACATGCAGAAAAAATAGAAATCTTATTGAAATCTTACTGTGCAGTAAATGGATTATGTAAAATTTTCATTTGTTTAACAACTGTAGATTTTCCCGATTCACCCGCACCTATACAAAAAATAATATTTGATAAATTTCAAAATAAAATAGAGAAAATGAATGAAATGAACCTAAAAGAAGTAAACGGTATGTGGCTTTATAAACTCTTTCATCATGTTTTAATTTCGCATTTATTTGTTTGTTAACTTGAGCACGTCTTTTTTCTTCATCTGTTTGTGATACAATACAACTCCAAAGTTTTGGCATTTTTTTCTTTTTAATTAATTCGTTTATTGTTTTTTTATTGTTTTCGTATGAATAATTCGTCATTTATATCCATACACACATATATAGATCAAAAATATGTGTAATTATTTTTATTCAATCTATAAATAAGTTTTAAAAATTTAGATAATTTAAATAAAAACAAAAATGAATACAAGTAGTATTATGATTATCAAATTCTTTTTTCCTATAAGTGTACTCGACCATTTGTATATATATATATACATGTATGCATATATGTAGATATATGAAACGAAAATTTATTTATGACAAGTTTAAAAATATTCGAAATCATTCTTATTCATTAAACATCTATGCACTTTGTGGTGAGCGTAATGATAAAAATAAGGAAAATGATTTTGAAAAAAAAAATCCAGCTCAGAATAGAAACAAAAATTTGAGTCAGTGTTGTTATTTTTTATTATTTTTATTTTATAACAAACGCATGTGATATATATTTTATTAGTTAATGAAAGTAACCAATCAAATAACGATAAAGGTATTTTATTTTTTTAAATACTACCTAGGACAAGTTTCATTGTAGATTTTAAAATGAAAA